CTTCTCCTGCTGAGGCCGGAAAGCCGCCCCGAGCAGAGTGGACCCTTGCGGGAGGAGGCGGCGGGGCCGGGGCGCGCGTGCCCGCGCTGAGGTGCCCCTTGTGCCCGCAGAGCCTCGGCGTGGTGCTCTACGTGCTGGTGTGCGGCGCCCTGCCCTTCGACGGGAGCACGCTGCAGAACCTGCGCGCGCGCGTGCTCAGCGGCAAGTTCCGCATTCCCTTCTTCATGTCCACAGGTGGGTGAGGCGACGCGGTCGCGGTCGCGGCGCGGGGCGCGCAGAGCCGAGGCGCGCGCCAGCGGGGCTGCTCTGGAGCCTTTCTGCAGGCAGAGCCGTCCTGCTGAGGGCTTGGGCAAAGCCTGCCCTCTTGCTCCCTGACAACAAGCGAGCTTAAAGTGTTAGGGTTTTTTATAGATGCGTTGTCTTTGTTCCCCTCTCAGGGAGATGGTTGCTCTGGAAGAGCACAAGAGCTGCTGCCGTTGCAGTTGCCTGCCCTTTGCGGCAGTCTTGTCCCTGGCGGTGGCTTACTCGGTCCGTTTGTGTTCCCGTGCAGAGTGTGAGCACCTGATCCGACACATGCTGGTGCTGGACCCTAGCAAGCGGCTCTCCATGGAGCAGATCTGCAAACACAAGTGGATGAAGCTGGGCGAGTCTGACGCGGAGTTTGACAGGGTTTGTCCCGCTGCGCCCTCGGCCGCGGCGCTCGCGGCTCAGCTCGACGCCTTGGCCCTTGTGGGCTCGGAGTCGTCGAGGCCCGGTGGGACCGCGCGCGCTGAGGCCGGCTCTGCTCCTGCAGCTCATCGCGGAGTGTCAGCACCTGAAGACCGAGAGGCAGCTGGAGCCGCTGAACCAGGACGTGCTGTTGGCCATGGCGGAGATGGGGCTGGACAAGGAGCGCACAGTGCAGGTAAGGCCAGCGCCGGCTCCTGGGCTGGCTCTCTCCGTCAGCGACCCAACGTCGGTGTGCGCCGCCCCTCCCCTCTGCGCGCTGAGCGACTGCAGCCGAGCACGGAGCGCGCGACGCTGCTTGGCAGGAGCCTCCAACCGCCTGTTCCCTTTTCCCTTGCAGTCCTTGCGAGCAGATGCTTACGATCACTACAGCGCAATTTACAGCTTGCTCTGCGACCGTCTCAAGAGACACAAGAACCTGCGCATTGCCACGTCTCCAAGCATGCCCCGGACCATGACCTTCCCCACCTCAGCCAACATCCAGGTAGATCCCGCCGGTGCCATGTTCTCCTAGCCATGGAAAGGCAGCCAGGGCCCAGCAGAATTGATGCTGAGGCCCTCTAACCAGATGGGAGGGGTCTGTCTTCCTAATTCTCAAAGGATCTTGAGAATCAAAGGTCCTTTGAGAATTACGGATGAAGACATCCTGAGTGGCCCCAGGGTTCCTATGAGTGCCCAAGTGGATTGTGCTTGTGCGCTGCTGCAAGCGCAGCAGCCTTGAGGAAGGGGCTGGGGGATGCACTAACTTTGCCTCTCGATCCCTCTGCTCAGCAGACGGAGCAGGCAGGCAATACCTTGAACATCAACGTGCCGCAGGTCCAGCTCATCAACCCTGAGAATCAGATAGTGGAGGTGAGGCGCTTGGCTGCACGGCCCTTGCAAGCAGCTCCTTCGCGGGCCTTGCGGGGAAGCTTCGGCATCCTCGCGCGGTCTTCCAACTTCTCCAATGGTTTTTGCGTCCAGACGGATGGAACGATGAACCTGGACAGCGACGAAGGGGAAGAGCCGTCGCCTGAAGCTCTTGTGCGTTACCTCTCCATGCGAAGGCACACGGTTGGAGTGGCTGACCCTCGGTTAGTACGGGGCTCTTAGCTGCAGGCTTTGTGATGTGAAGGGTAACCAAGGTTAATAGAAAGGCCTGACGCTGCTCTGTGGGAATTTGGGGGAAAAAGAGGGACAAAAGAATGCTGAAGAATGGCTTGGCTGCTCTCTGCAACCATTTTCTGGAGCAGTAAGAAGCCTTTTTGTGAGGGGAAGTTGAGCGCACCGAGTCCATGGGTTTTTCTTTTTGCATCCTTGCTAAGTCACCTGTCTGTATGTGATTGCACAGGACGGAAGTGATGGAGGATCTGCAGAAACTGCTGCCGGGCTTCCCGCGCGTCGCTCCTCAGGCTCCCTTCCTGCAGGTGACCCCCAACGTGAACTTCATGCACAACGTGCTGCCCCGGCAGAACCTGCAGCCCACGGGGCAGCTGGAGTACAAGGTGCGGAGGGCCGCGGGCGCCGCTCGCCGCGGGCGCTCGCTCGTGCCGCGTGGCTGAGCGCCCTGTGTGCGCCCCGCAGGAGCAGTCGCTGCTGCAGCCCCCCCCCCTGCAGCTGCTGAACGTAAGTAGCGGAAGCGGAGAAGAGAGGTGCAGGGGTGCTCGGAAACGTGTGCTCTGGGAGGCAGAGCGGCGGGCGCCAGGTGCCCGTGCTCGGCACGGCTGGCCCAGCGGCGCGCCGTGTCCTCCGGCGGCAGCGTCGTGGTGCCTCCCGGGAGCGCTCGGCTGTGGGCACGCCATCGGGAGTGCGGGCTTGCCCTCGCTTCCCCTCTTGTTTGCTGATCACGCGGAGAAAGCTAGAGCGTCTCTCAGGGCTGTAACACCGATTCGTTCGTCCTTGGTGTTTGTGTGGCAGAGGGTTTCCCCGGTGGTAGCAAGGGAGGAAGCAGTGTTGTGCAGGAGGGAAAGGGCAGAGGGGTGTCCCGGGCGCGTGGCCCCCCTAGCTGCTGCACATCCCTTCCCTGGGAGGGCCTGCAGGAGGAAGGCAGGGTCCGCAGCGCGGGCGGGATGCGCTCGGCTGCCCTCGGGAGCCCACGGCCTCTCTTCCGCAGGCTGTGCCAGCCGTCACTCCTGTGGATGAGGAGAGCTCCGACGGGGAGCCGGACCAGGAAGCCGTGCAGAGGTAACGTCCACGCGTTCCCGTGTTGCCCTCGTTAGCCTCCGAGAGGCTCTCCCTGCGGAGACCCAGAGCTCGGTGCAAGCAGGAGGCGGCAGCGCTGAGGACGGTGGAGGCTCAGCATTCCGTGTGCTCTCGTGGGTGCGATTCCTGTAGGCAGACCCTCCTCTGGCACCAGCAGGTGCTTGTGAAGCTGGACTTGCCTCTGGGAGCCGTTGGAGCACTAGGTTGTCCCGAAGCTCTGAAGCTGCTGATTTCCCTGGCTTAGTGTGCCAGCATGCGATCCAAACTAACCCACAACAGGAGTGCTGCACGATTCGCCCCTCGCTGCTGGGTGACGGAGGTGGCAGGATCTCCTGCGTGGCCTTGCCTGTCAGCGCAGCTTTTGTATCAAGACATGCAGTAAACACCCAACTCTGATGCCGGCAACAAAGTGAGCGTGGTGGCAGTCCGGGTGGCTCTGGGCTCGTAGGGGTCTCATTTTAGCAGTAGGTCTCAGGAAGGTCTGCCCTGCTCAGGGAAGGGTTTTTAGTTACGCGGCTGGAGCCTTCTCTCTGTCAGCCTCAGGCAGATCCCGGGGAGCCCGTCAAGGAGCCTTCTGCTTCCTCGGGGCCTGGAAACACTAACAACGTTGCTAACAGTCTCTCAGTAGCTTCTGCGCAGTTGCTTTCCTGCTAACCAGCTGGTGCCCTCCGTGCAGTGTGTAGGAGTATTCCTGTTTCCTGCCTCGGACTTCCCAAGCTGCCTGCATTTCCCCCCTGCTCTCAGGAGCAACACCTGGAGTTAGGTGGCCTCTCCTCAGGGAGAAGGGCTTGGAGAGGGGCGCTTGGAAGGCAGCGGGAGCTGCTGCTCCCTCGGCTTTGTCAGCTCTTCCCACTCGCGTGTCTCGGGGCAGAGGCGGGTTTTGGACGGTGCGGGTGTGCAGAGGCTGTGCTGGTGACCCCGTTGCCTGCTGGAGCTCAGAACACGGCCCTGCTGTGCGGGGAGAATTCCCTGGAGTGCAGTCACGCCTTGCGCAGGACGCGTCCCGCGTTTTCCGCGGAGCCCACGGCCTCTGCCCTTGCTGTGGCCCTCGTCTGTGCTCGCCCAGCGTCTGCAGCGTGCCAAGGCGCTGGGATGGGCCTGCCCCGTTGTTGTTGAAGGCCCGCACCCTCTCCTGGAACACCCCAGCCAGGAGGCACGGTTACAGCCTTTCTCGCTGCGCACATCACATGAGTCTTTCTGAGACTTGGCAGGGAGGCCCGGGGCATCTTCCCTGGCCAGGCTCTCCCTGCTGCCAGTCTGCAGCTTCTCTTGCATTGAATGTGTGAGGCTCAGCTGGGAAGACCTCGGAGCACGAGTGCAGCTCGTCCCGGGGTGTCAGCCCTCCAGATGCTGGACGCTCCTGCAAGGTGGGAGTTCACGGGTCGCTCCGCTGCGCTCGGCAGCGCTACCCTCGGTCCTCTCTTCATAGCTCGTGTTCTCCTTCCACGAGGTGGCCCAGCAAAAACCCTGCCCACGCACTGAGGGAACGTGCGCTTCACCCTTGTGTTGCAACGTGCCACTAGTCATCAAAGGAGAAGGGCAAATAGTATTAACAGAAGGGCCACATGCAAATATTTAGCTATTCAGAACAGTGCTCTGAACACTCTTTATGCAGCCACCGCTGAGCAATTTTTGCCCTGCTTAATTTGACCTTGAAAACAGTGCCTATTCTTTGCTGTGCTCCAGGGAACACTCACATCTCTGAGCTTTGGAAAACTTTCTTCCACCCAAAACCCTGTTAGAGCTCACGATGTGATTGTTCCCTAGAGGCCTGAAATAAAATCATCTTAGCAAACCGCAACTGTAAAGCTCTTTGGGAAACTTTCTCTGTCTCCATCAGATGGTTCTTACACAGCTAATGGGCCAGACTTTGGCAGTTAGCACAGCACTAAGTACCCTCCGTTCTGTTAACTTGCTGCATTCTGCTTAAGTGGCTGCAGTAGCTAGCGAAGACAGGCAGCTTTTGGAGGAGGCCCCGACTTTATTAATTGCTGTTCTTCTCCGCAACTTAGAAGCTGCATTGCAGAGAGCCTTCCCAAAAACTCCAAGGTGAGAATTCCCACTAGCATTCCAGGTTCTCGCTGGCCAGGGGAGCCTCTGTCCCTGGCAGAGCTGCCGTTCTGCTGCCGGTTTCCAGGAGCGGAAACCGGCTGGCT